CAGTGCAGGAGGGGAAGGTCCTCTATGAGGTGGATTGATTCAGTAGTGGCTGGGGTAATCGAGATGGGTGTGTCGGAGACAGTGCGATTGGCACAGGACAGAGCAGAGTTTAGGGCTGTTGTGCATAGGGTCGCTATGAGTCACAAACAACTCGACGGCACATAACACATTTCTGTGATATTTTAAATGTACAAAATCTTTACCCACATGTTGTTGCTAGCTGTTGTCAACTTCATGGCAATGGCAGTAAAAATAGAACACAATGACCCTCTACTTCACAACACATGATATCCTCTAGTGATTGATTACTTCTGGTGTCATGTCCAAAGCAGGGGTCAGACAATGTTCTGTTGTGACCTGTAACATTTTCAGGGTCTTTTTTCTTACTGTAGAATGCCAGACTTTTCATCCTAGTCTTCTTTAGTCTCTGAAATCTCTGCTGAAACTTGTCTGTTAAGGGTGACTCCACTGGTATTTGACATTCTAGAAGCAGAGCTCCAGCATCATAGCAACCTGCAAGCCACCACAGTTCAGCATACTGACAAGTCTTTATACATACATTCCTGCCATTAACCCAGGAAGCTGGGTCAGGAGTGTAATTTATCTTTTATAGCAAGGAAATAGCTTGCTGAGAGGTTAAAACACTTGGACCTAGGTGAACACATTTTGTTGATCACTACGTTACAATGCCTCTTTTATTGATTTTTTTAAAAAAAAAAACCTCTACAAATATTTGTTGTAATTTAGTTTTACTTTTTAAATGCATATTATGTAAAGGCTTCTATAAGATTTATCTTTAAATTAAAAGTAGATTTGCTCTGGATCCCTCCACTAGCCTAGTGGCAAGAAGCTGCACTGCAATCACGAAGGCAAGTGGTTCAAATCCACCAGGTGCTCTGAAGGAGAAAGGTGGGCAACCTCCTCCCACGTAATTCTGAACATCTGCCCAAGAGTCAGTGATGGGTTGGTTCTGACTTGATGGCACACAACAGCAAAAATAACATAAGATTTATCGTGAACAAAACAGTCCTCTCCCTTCCCAGCCCAGTTTCCAACCTCCACATTGCCACTGCAACGTTTGGTTTTTCTTGCTTTTCTACAAAGAACGTATTAGTAGAAGTGATTTTATTTACTTATTTTCTCAAAACACAATGTCACATGAAAGAAGCTAGACAAAAAAAAACCCCACAAAACAGTATTACTGTAAGATTCTAACTATATTAATATAAAAATATAAAAAACTTTTACATGCAATGTTTTTTATAGAACCATAAAAAGAATATTTAGCTCTGAGTTGAGAGATGTTGACTACAAGTGGTTTCAGGAACTTTTTGAGGTGCTAGAAATATTCAATACATTGACTGGAATGGTAATTACAGAGGTTAGTCTCTTTTTTCACTGACCCTCTGCTTAACCAAGTGTGAAGTCCTTTTTTTTTTTTTAAGTCCTTCTTGAGGGACTTGTCCCTCCTGAGAACGTGTTAAAGTACATGAGATAAGGTCTCCGCATCTTCCTTTCCAAATCTTACTGTGATTCTTCCAAAACAGGTTTCTTTATTATTCTGGCTATCTGTGGTACATTTGCCCTTTTCAATACTATAATTTAATTATCAATTCTTTGTGCTTCTTATTCATTGTCCAGCTAAAGTGGCCACACATCCCAGAAACTCCACTCTTAGGAATATACCCAAGAGATGAAAACACTTGTCCATACAGAAACTTGTACACAAGGAAAACAAACAGGTTTGTCTTAGAGAGGGTGAGACCAGGCTGCCCCTTGGAGGCAAGGATTCTGAAGCTTCTTCTGACCTACTTTGGACATGCTTCAAGGAGATATCAGGCCTTGGAGAGGGACATCATGCTTGGGAGGCTGGAGGGACAGAGCAAGAGAGGACAACCCTTGATGAGATGGATTGACTCAGTTACTGGGACAAATGGGTAGGTGTGTCAGAGACAATAAGATAGAGGAGGGTTTAGGGCTGTTGTACATAGGGTCGCTGTGAATCGCAGGTAACTCAGTGGCACAGAATAATAACAATAACAATGTTCATGGAAGCATTATTCCTACTAGTCAAAATGTAAAAACAATCCAAATGTCCATCAACTGATGAATGGAGCAATAAGTTGTGTTATGTCCTTAGGTATCAGACAAATCTATAATCAATGCAATCTATTTAACCCCCTTCTCTGATATCAAGCTAAATTGAAGAAACCAATAACAAAATAAATACAAATTGATTCAATTCTGTTCTATTCCTATCTGTACCTGTAGGAGTTCTTTCTCTGATCCTAGCCATCCTGAGTTAGCCACATCTCGTAAGTTAAGGAACACAAGCTTCTAGGTTGCCAAATTTGCCCCAGACATCACATACAACCACAGATTTCAAAATGCTCGGGTTCCTCTCACTTCTAACCTGCTGGCTAAGAGTTTGGGACTTCTCTTTTCTCCAAAAGCCCCCTTACTTCTGACCAATTTATCCCTAGGATTCTCTCAGGTCAGATCATTCATTAGGATAACTCACAAAACTCAGCTAGTTATTATACTATAATTCTGTGATAACAAACAAACAAAAAAATCAAGATCTGGAAAGATTCCCTACTCCGAGCTCCAAAAAAGGGACAAGCTGCTCTCCCATGTTTATGGATGTCTATAACGAATCAAGACACCCAGGGAGTGTTCAGAGTCTCACAGCTTAGGCCTCATGACATTGCATGTCCCTTCCCCTGAAGCTGGCTGATATGACAAGATGAGTCTCTGTGGACAACTGTCACCTGAGTCACCTTATTAGATGACTTGAAAGTTAGGTGTGGTCTAGAATCCTAATAGATAACAAGCCACTTAACCACTGGAGAAATTCCAAGAATTCAGGAATTTAAGGAACTAAAGATGCTCCATACAATAAAATACTATTTGTCTGGAAGAGGAAATAAGTATTAACACTTGCTACAATGTGAATGAACCTTGGAAAAAATGATGCTATATAAAAGAAGCTAAATACAAAATTGCACATATTCTATAATTCCATGTACATGAAATGCTCAGAATCAAGAACTCTGTAGAGACAGAAAGGGAATGGTCTGGTGTGTAAGGAGTCATGTTGCCAACATAAAGGCAGTTAGAATGTAACAGCTGCTAGGTGGGAAAAAAGATGGATGATCTCCCATGTGTTTTACAGCCAGCATCTAAAACCCGCTGGAGGGTCAGCTATGAGTCAATTCTGACTCAACTGTGTGTAATAACAATAGCCAACAGGGGAGTGGGGAGAAAATGAACAGTGACAGGTAATGGAGTTGAGGTTTCTTTTTGGAATGATGAATGCATTCTGAAAATTATTTTAGTGATAGTTAGACAACTCCGTGAATTCGCTAAAGCATTTTCATGATACACTTACTTCAAAGGAGCACATTTTATCATGTTAATTATATCTCATAAAGTTGTTGTTGTTAAGTGTCATCAAGTACAGTTCACAGCTGTACTCATGAACAGTAGATCTACACTCTGTCCTATCCTGTGCCATCCTATCTTGTGCCACTGAGAAATTCAGAGCTTTCTTCCCACTTCTAAGGACTGAGGAGCAGCATTTTCTCATTAGCTTTTTAAAAAAAATTTTCTTATTTTTTGTGTGTGTACCGTCAAATCAGATCTGACTGGTACAGGAGGAGATTGCCCCTCCTTCTCCAGCACAGCATCTGGTAGATTTGAACCGTGTACCTCTGCGATTGCAGTGCAGCTTCTTGCCACTAGGCCACCAGAGCTCCCTGATTTTTTTAAATATCCATTCATGTTTAATATTTTCTTAAAATACCTAAGATTGTGTTGCTGTTATTATGTGCCATCGAGTCGCTTGAGACTCATAGTGACCCTATGTACAAGAGCCCTAAACACCATTCTATCCTGTGCCAACCTCACTGTCTCAAACACACTCATTCCCACCACTCCACTCACAGAATCGATCCATCTCATCGAGGGTCTTCCTCTCCTGCGCCGTCCCTCCACTCTCCCAAACATGATGTTCCTCTCCAAGGACCAGTCCCTCCTTGAAACATGCCCAAAGTACATCAGATGGAGCTTCAGAATCCTTGACTCCAGGAAACATTCTGGCTTCACCCTCCCAGGACAAACCTGTTTGTTCTCCTAGCAGTCCATGTTATATTCAACATTCTTCTCCAGCACCACAACTCAAAGGCATCAATTCTCCTTCTATCATCCCTATTCACTGTCCAACTCTCCGATGTGTAGCACGTAATTGCAAAGACTATAGCCTGGATCAGGCATAGGGAGAAAAGAATACTTATCTGTAACAACCAACTATGAAATACTAATTATGTCAGTTTAGAAAGAGAACAAATCCGGTATAGAATTCCATATTATTTGTGGAATTTCTCTCTCTCTCTCTCAATATATATTTTAAATAAGAAAATAAGCATTTTCTCCTGAATTCATTTCTCCAAATCTGTTAAAGTTTGATTTGCGTGTCCTGGTAGGGGAGTCTGTCATTGGGAGAATAATTACTAATCACAGTACGTCCTCTTGTTTAATTGACGCTTTTAATAATTTTAAAATGCTTTTTCTTATCTGCAAGGCTTAAAGTTTATTTCATCTAAAATTAATATTGCCGCTCCTACTATCTTATGGCGGTAGATGTGTCAGTGACAGTGAGATTGGCTCAGAATAGGGGAGGGATCAGAGTTATTTTGCATAAGGTCCTTATGAGTCAAGGTTGTATGACGACAGCACAGAACAACTCTTTTTTGATTGCTATTTCTTTATGGGTTCTTTTCTACCCTTTGATCTTTTTCCCTCTGTCTTTGTCCTTGTCTCTGAGGTATTCCTCTTACAGACAGCGCATTGATGGGTCATGTTTTCTTATCTGTTCTGCTACTCGTTCCTTCTTGACTGGTCTTTTATATGAATGATAGGAGGTGTGAAAAATATTTATTGACAAATAAATTTCAATTTAGTAAAGTGAAGGGTTTTTTGGAAATTAAAACTCAACATCTTTACCCCAGATTTGAGTTCTCAGGCTTTGCCTTCCTGAGGGACACCTTACATAATGAAGCCTTGGCAGGCAGCTCAGGCCTTCTTGGGCTCTCGGGTGCCCCAGTCTTCATAGCCAGGGACACAGGGGCTGTCCTGGACCCACTGTTGCCTCTGTCCTTGGACTGAGCTGCAGCCTCGGCTTCTGGCTCTTCCCCCGCCTCTGAGGCTGCCTTTCTAGGGGCCTGTAGCTGTTTTCTTGGTGGGAAAGTAGTTCCATTCTTGCCCTTGCGGGGTCTTGGCTTTGGAACTCTTACTCCCGGCATTTATCTTCCTGGGGGCCTCAGCGTCTGGGGAAAGAGGGCCTTGCTGTTGGTATCCCTTTGACTGCTGACTTCTGGCCGAGACTTGCAGCACTGGGAGGAGCCTTTCAAGATCGCCTTCTTGGCCTCATCGCACTTTGTCACCTTGACAGCAGCCTTGTTGCTTTTGTTGGGGCCCTTCTCCTTGGCTGTGTCCGGCTTATTGGGAAACTTTTTCACCTTATCCCTCTTCTGGAGCAGCTTTTTCACCTTTTCTGCGTTGGGTTGTGTGGGGTGGGGGTGTCCTTCTTTGCCTTGCTGCGGTCCTTGGGACTCTTCTGGACTTCACCAGATTTCCTGGTGGCCATCTTTCTGCACTCTATTGTCTTCTTTTTCTTGGAAATGAATTTGATGCTACCAGATGAGGAGGCCCCCAGGTGACACCTTTGGCCAAAGCCTGCTGGAGCAGGTAGGTGAAGTAGATGGCCTTCACTCTTGGTACTTCTGCAAGTTCACTATTGAGGACTTCTGCAGGATGAACAGATTGTTGGCTACCACCAAGATGTCCTGCTGCTGCTCCCTGGCCTACCAAGCCTCCAGCACCATGCCCAGCACTGTGGGGTTGCCCTGCAGACCTGGGACAACTTTGGAGTTTGAGTCTGGCTTCTCAGACCCTGTCAGCTCCACCGAAGAGGCCTCTAAGGTGCCACTGGATGCATCGCTCCCAGGAGCCACCTGATAGACACTAGCTTCCCCTCTTTGTGGAAAGCTGACTAGTGTTTTTAATCTATTCATTTTCAGTGTGCTTATCAATAGGTGTCATTTTATTATTGTCATTTTTCTGTGTTCTTTTTTGTGGTGTTGCTGGTTTCTTTGTTCCAACTACTTTTTAGTAGTTAATTTTGTTTATGGATTTTCTTTTCATTTATTTCACTGCTATTATTTTAATCCTCACAACTTGACATCATGATGATGATGTTGTTATGTGCCGTCATGTGTCATGTATCATGATATGACATCATGATAAGTGGAGAAAATATTAACATTGTTAGGGATTAATTTTACTTGGATCCACAATCAACATTTATGGAAACAGCATCAAGAAATCAAAAGATACGTTGCAATGGGCAAATCGTCTGCAGAGGACCTCTTTCAAGTGCTAAAGAACAAGGATGCCAGTGTAAAGACCAGGAATTAAAGTCTTTGAATGGTATTGGCGAAGAGCATTGCGTATACTGTGGACAGTCAAAAGAATAATCAGGTCTGCTTGGAAACAGTGCAGCCAGAGTGCTGCTTAGGAAAATCATAACAAAAGTTTGCAGAATTACACAGGGCTCCTACAAGAAAAAGAGAGATAACCCAAAAACAAAATGAGCAAAAGACATGAAAAGACTCTTCACAAAGGAAGACATTCAGATGGCCAACAGACACATGAAGAAATACTCTGAATCACGGGCAGAGAGATGCAAATCAAAACCACAAGATACATATCCCACCCCAATAGTAGTAGCAGTTTAACAGGAAAGCAAGCAATAAATGTTGGAGAGGATGTGCAGAGTTTGAGAGTTGGAACTCCCATGCACGGCTGATGGGATTGTAAAATGGTACAACCACTCTGGAAGGCAGTTTAACATTTCCTCAAAAAGCTGAACATAGAAACTCCATAGAACCCAGCTATTCCACTGGTAGAAATATATTTCAAGGAAAATAGAACTGAAAGATGAATGGAAATATGCACACTTACGTTCATAGCAATGTTATTCACAATAGTAAGAAAATGATGGCACAAGTGCCTGTCAAAAAAATGAATGGAGAAATTGTGTTACGTTCACACAATGGACTACTCTGCATCATTAAGGAACAACAATTTTGTAAAATAGTATATAACATGAGAGAGTCTAGAGAGAATTATGCTGAGTGAACTAACTCAGTCTCTCAAGGACAAACACTGCATATGACCATTATTGTAAAAAATAGAGGCTAACTGATCAAGATGTGTATAAATGTTCAAAAAGTGAAGGAACATGGGAGAAAGGCCAAAAAAGGGAAAGGAAGAAAATTGCTAGGATAGCAGAGGTTAGTTGGGGGAGGGGTAAAGGAATAGGAAAAATTGGGGTCTTAAAATAACAGGGTGATGATAGGCAAAAATAAAAAATAATTAATTCTATAAAATACAATGTATATGCATTATTATATAAAACACAACTTACATGAATGAACATCCCTATGAACGGGAATGTCTGCAGTCAGGGATCTCTCTAAATTATTGAGGAGTAATGATGTCAATTTGAGGACTAAGGTGCATCTGATTCAGGCCATGGTCTTTCTGACCACTTTCTATTTATCTGAGAGCTGAATAAGGATGACAGAAGAATTGATGCTTTTTAGCTATGGTCTTGAAGAAAAGTGTTGACCATCCCATGGACTGTCTAAAGAGCAAACAAATATGTCTTGGAGAAAGTGAAGGCAGAGTGCTCCTTGTAGGCAAAGATGATAAAGCTTTGCCTCACATATTTTGGGCATGTTGATAGGAGGGGGTATTTCTTGAAGAAGGATATGATGCTTGGAAAAGCAGAGGGTCAGCAAAGGAGAGGAAAACTCAACCAAGCGGCTTGACACAGTGACTGCTGCAATGGGCTGAAGTGTGTCAGAAAGTGTGAAGATACAGTTCGAATCCACCAGATGCTCTGCCAGGGAAGGAGGGACAATCTCCTCCTGTACCAGTCAGATCTGATTTGACGGTACACTCACACAAAAATAATAAAATAAAAAAAAATTAAAAAAAGAAAGTGTGAAGATGGCCCAGGATAGGACAGGGTTCAGATCTGCTGTTTACAGAGTCACTATGAATCATACTTTGACTCCATGGCACCTGACGACAACAATAACATGAACAAAACAGAAAGTAAGTGAAAAATTGTATAAAACACAAGCATGTATGAAACACAATGTATATGAATAATTATTTTCAAATCAATAAAAATATAGAAAAGAAAAAAGTTTTATTACTTTCTGTATTTCTGCATCTATATTGGTTTGTTAATGATTTTGTCATGTATGCTAATTTGAGATTGTTGTCTGTGGTTCCTGGTTCAGAGAATTCTCTCTAATAGTTCTTGTGATGATGGTGGCATTTTCAAAACTCTCTTAGTTTCTACTTATCTGGAAATGTCCTAACTTTCCCATCATGTTTGAGGGATAGTTTTTCTACATGTATAATTCTTGATTGGCAAAATTTTTTTTTTCCTTTCAGAGTTTTATAAATGTCAGGCTGAGAAATCGGAGCTTGTCTCGTTGGTTCTCCTTTGGGAGCAACTTCTTGTTGAAAGAAGCTTACTTTCAGTATTCTCTCATTCTCTTTAGTTTGGAAAATATTAATTTGATAAGTCTTAACACTTTTCTTTTGGAGTCTATCTTGCTTGGGGTTTATTCAGTTTCTTGAATGCATGTTTTCTCATTTTTCATTATATTTGGCAAATATTCTTCCAGTAACTATTCAACAAGTACCTCTGTGTTTCCCCCACCCTCCTTCTACCCATCTCCTCCTGTTCTAGAATTCCAGTAACACATAAGTCATTCTTAATAGTCGTTCTTCCACATTATTCTTACACGTGCTCCTTCTGCTTCCTTCTTTTTAATGATTACTTCTCTAATAGGTTAGTAGTGAATGATTGGTCCTCCGTCTGTGTTTCATGGCTTCAATTATTTTTCTGTCTTTCCAAGATATTTTCTCTTTCTAAAATTTTAGCCTTTTTATTTTAAATTTCAATTTACTCTTTCTGGATTGCTCCTAATTTTCCATTTATCTATTTTGTGTTGTTTTGTAAATTCTTCTAGAATTTTGTCTATTCTTTCATTATTTTGTCTAACGTTTCCTGACATTTATTTGAGTCTAATGAAGGTGTTTAACCCTCATTGTTTTGCATTTTTATCTGGAAGTTCCAATAGTATTTCTTCTGAAAGATTTTCTGGTTCTGTGTTTTGGTTACTTTTTAATCAACCTTGTCTTTCTTCCTTTTTTAAAAAAAAACAAAACCCTGGTTAATAGAATCATCTGTTACCTCTGAGATATTGTAGTTTTATTGCTTTTGTATAAGATATTAGTCATGTGTGATTGAGCCATGTGAGTATATTGCGTAGCTTACTAGTTTGGCAATTTTTAATGTTTCATCTCCTGACTTCTGTTGGGCACGGCAGAGTTTGAAGGTGTGTGTTCAGTTATCCGTTTGCTATTTGTGTACATCCGTTGAGGTCAGACTGGATTGGTGGCAGCCTTTTGTTGATCAGGTGGAGGAGAGCTGGTCTTTATTCTTGCTCAAACAGTCAAGCTCCAGGGAAGGTGTGTATGGTTGAACTGCTGGATACTGTTGCTGTCTGTTACCAGGTGGGGCAAGAAAAGGTAAAAAAAAAAGGAAATAAGACACCTATCTCAAAACTATAAACAAGATTGGGCAGCTAAACAAAACCATAAGTGAGAGGGTGGCTACAAAAGGAAGGAGTGTCAGAATTAAAAGAGAAAAAAAAAGGCAGCCAAGGCAAAATACAAAAGCTAGAGTTAGAGGAGGCAGAAAAATGAGAGAGAAAAGGCAAAGCTTGAGAGGGGATGGGTGGGGCTGGATAACTGATTTGTGCTCTTGCTGCTGTCATTGGAAGTGGAGACAAGGTGTATGGTCTGGAACAGTATGTCTTCTAGTCCAAAAGCTGGAGTTAGAGTACCCAGAGTCCCTGTTTGAGCAATGGCTGAAGGCCCAAGAGTGAGCCAGGCCATGGATGGACAGTACCTCTTCTTGTTTGGAGGGCACTGAGAGGTGAGGCGCCCAGCCTTAGATGGAGTTTCCACTGGACTCTTTCCCAGGGAAGCCTGCCTGGCCAGAGAAAGTATCTTTGCCCTTCAAGTGTGTAGGTAAACTCTGCTGACATGAAGTGACCATGACTGTCATGGTGGCCACTAATCCAACATATCCAAGGACAGCAGACTCCACCTAGGGTCTACTACTCCAAAAGTGGATGTGGTGTGCCATTCCTGTACCCCACAAGGACCCCAGTCAGAGGTGGTGCCTATACCAATCCCGGGGCTGGTTGCTTTCTAGGCATGGTACATTAACCACAGTATGGATTTGGTCCCTTTTATGTAGAATCTAGGCAGGAGGGCCCCTCAGGAAGCACCACTACCAGGTTCAAAATGGTGCAAAACCAGCCTCAGGTGGAGTTGAGATGGGACTGAGGGAATATTGCCAACCATTTGATGGGTGGTGGTTGGGGGAGACCCTTCGGAAGATCTGAAGAACAAAGGAAGATCCCACTTTTCTTGACATGAGCCAACTGCTGTTGACATCTCCTCAGTCCCAGGTTCCTGCTGAGCAGAAAGCTGATCACAAAGGTTCTAAACAGCTGCACTTCACTGTTTACAACCTACTGCTCCTGTTTCCTTATGCAATGCTTTCATGTGATTTCTTCCTTTTCTCTGTCTGCATTTAAACGATTTATCGCTTTCTTTGAAACGCCAGGGTTCTGGATTATCATCATTCTCTGTTATCTTTGTTTTTAAAGAGAGTCTGGATTGTGGTCTGTCTAGTCCATAGTCTTACCCGGAAGTCCAGTTTTGGGATTTGTTTGGGTTTGTTTTTTCCCCCTTTCTCTTTACGTCATTAAATAACATGCTTACACTGCACTTACACTTACTTCATTTTTCAGATTTAAACACTAGCCACGAATTTCTCATGATGGAAGATGAAGGAATTTGGTCTTTGTCAAAGCCTCCTTCCCTTCTCTATACATTCCTTCACCCTTCTCTC